CCATAAACCAGTTTTAGAAAATGAATTTAGTCTCCATGTGACACTTCTATCCTCGAAGTCACTGGAAGAACCCTAAGAGAATACACGTGATAGTACCTGGAACCTAAGCCTGACCAACAGGCAACATTACAAGCATGTGCACCAAATGCCCTGCCTGCAACACCCTTCAATGCAGACTAAGAAATATTTATTGCCACAAAAATAATTTTTTTCTCAGTTTTCCTAAGTCAAGAGCCAGGAATCTGGTGAAAGTCTTGAGTAGCTAAAAATTCTTTTCACAGAATTCTGGACTGAGGGAGGTTTTAAAAGCATTTTTTAATCTTCTCAGAGTACTTCCAACATTTATCAGTTCTGATGCCAAAGGAAAAAGAGGGAGGATGGCCAGTGTGCTCCTGAAACCACCTGTCAGCACCAGCCCCAGGCAACCATGCCCAGCTTTTACACAGGTGCTGCAAAACCAAACTCCAATTAGTCTTCATGCTTACAGAACACACTTTTCTCAGCTCTGACTCTGGCAACTTTTTAAAAAGTATTTTAATTTTACACTAATTTCATTTGTCTATGTGTGTAGACACACACGTGCCACAGCAGGCATACAGAGGTCAGAGGAGAACCTGAGGGAGTTGGTTCTCTCCTTCTGCCACGTGGATCATGGAAATCAAGGTCCAACCTTGGTCATCAGACTTAGCAGCAGGGACCTTTACCTGCAGAGCCATCTCTTGGGCCCTAAAAAGGTTAAAGTTAGTAGTAATAAAAAAAAAAAAAAAAAAAGTAGAAAATGCCAATTAGCTTAAATAAGCTAAGACAAATTAATTGCCCACAGATTGATGCAATTCAAGTAAAGTTTTAATTCTGCACTCGTTTTATTGTTTTCATATATGCAGCACTGAAAATAACCTACGTGTTTGGTGGAAGGGAGGTAGTTGTAAACAGTAGTTGCAACACAAAAGAGATGTGAGAGCTATCTGGGAAGAAAACTGCTCCATGTCCCAGACTTTGTCAGTCAATACAGTATGTTCAGATCCCCTCTCTCAAACACACAAATCCCTGCCAGCAGAAGCAAGTATCTAAAGTGGCACAACACAGAAGATAGGAAAGCAGCCCGATGAAGACAGAGAAACTCACTTAAAGGGTAGCTTTCATAACCTGAGGGGAGGGAGGCAGGTATGAGAAGGCGATACAATGACAATTAAGAGTGAGACTTCAGAAGGAGAAAACAGGGAACAGGACAGGAGCCTGCCACAGAGAGCCTCTGAAAGGCTCTACCCTGCGGGGTATCAAAGATGCTGAGACTTATAGCCAACCTTTGGGCAGAGTGCAGGGAGTCTTATGAAAGAAGTGGGAGATAGAAAGATCTGGAGAGGACAGGAGCTCCACAAGGAGAGCAACAGAACCAAAACATTTGGGCACAGGGGTCTTCCCAGAGACTCATACTCCAACCAAGGACCATTCATGGAGATAAACTAGAACCCCTGCACAGATGTAGCCCATGGCAGTTCAGTGTCTAAGTAGGTTCCATAGTAATGGGAACAGGGACTGTCTCTAACATGAACTGATTGGCCTGCTCTTTGATCACCTCCCCCTGAAGGGGGAGCAGCCTTACCACAGAGGAATAAAATGCAGCCACTCCTGATGAAATCTGATAGGCTAGGGTCAAAGGGAAGGGGTATGGGTGAAGAAGCAGGAGGGAGGGTGGGATTGGGAGGGAAAGAAGGAGAGAGCTACAGGGGAGATACAAAGTGAATAAATTATAATTAATTAAAATTTAAAAAAAAACATCTTCAATCTCAAAAAAAAAGAAAAAAGTGAGGCTTTCAGGAACTGGAACAACAGTTAAACAGTAGAGCTGTGCTTGGCATCTATGAGGCCATGGGTTCCATTCCAAAGACTAAAAGAGAGAAGTCATCATAAGTCATTTGCTTACATTCAGATCTCAGATTTCCCACACCAGATGTAGACCTCTGAGAAAGCTGCTTATTCTCTCAACATCTTGTTTCTTTCCTATAACTATAGATATAAAATCTCCACAGGACTGTTCCCCAAGAAACAAAATTGTGTGTAAACACACATAACATAGCAGGCAGCATGTTGTTTGATGGAACAATGCAGATTTATTATCAACTTAATGAGATGAAAAAATAATATAAATGTAAAGTATTTAAGAGGAAAGCAAGGCACAGTGGCTCATGAAAATGATTCCAGTATCCAGGAATCTGAGGCCACAAGTCATAAATTCCAGACTAAGCTGGACTATATTGCAATATTCAAGAGGAGTGAGGGCATTAAGGAGCTGCGGATAAGCAGTTTTAATACAGAGGAAAGGAGGAAATAGACTCTAAATTCTGGCTTGAATACTGATGCTTTTTGGTGAAATGAGAATCAAGTTTGAACAAGTATTCTTTTTAAGATATACTAATTTCGCAATGCCATGGCAGTAGGTGCATAAACACATAGCTATGAACAAAACAGGGCAAGCTAGAGATCTGACATTCATAGACAGTAATTGTTAAGTCCATGGGCAGTGATAAAGCTCCCAGAGAATCAATGTACAGAGGTAAGAACTGACAGTAAGTAGAAGCCAGAGAACACCAACATTTAAAGATGGCAGAGGGGCGCCAGGTGTGGTGGCACATACTGTTAATGCCAGCCAGGTCTGGCAGGTGGACCTCTGTGAATTCGAGGCCAGCTTCATCTACAGAGAGAGTCAAGGACAGACAGAGCTGCACAGAGAAAACTTGTCTTAAAAAAGGGCGGAGGAAGTCTTCAAAAATTACTGAAAACAAGAAACCAGAGAAGATAATGGTAGTGTACGTAGAGAACCTAAAGGATAAAGATGTCTCAAAGAAAAAAGCACACTCAGCCAAATCAACACTTCTGCCAAGTTGGAGAACAACTGGGAGTATCCACTGGATTTGTCACGTCATCCACATGATAAATGAGTGGAGCACTGCTGGGCTCTCAACAGACAGACAGAAGAAGAGCAGATTGCGAAGGTGGTGGGTGAGAAAACAAATACCCTGCAGTAAGGATTCCAAACAAAGACACAGCAATGTGACACAGGCATAAAAGGCAGGGGGTCAGCTTAAACAGGGTATGAGAGGGCCATCTCTGTCAGACAACTTTAAGCTGACACTTGAGGCAGGGAAGGGCAGACATAGCCACAGAGCTGAGAGGAGACTCCTACAGCTACAGTGGAAGGATGTGGGTAGGAAAGACAGAGAGAAGATAAACCCTGTGGGGAGGTCACACTGAGGACAGTGACACAGTGACCTGGTGAGTGCTTGTGAACAGGGAAGTTAGCACTCTGGTTTCTCTCATTTACACTAATCCTAATAATCAGAAATAATTCTCTTCAGCCATTGTCTGTTATAACATCAGAATAAGGTTTTCTGTTTTAAAATACAGCAAATAGTTACATACCTGTCGTGTTAAAATTTTACTAACCTCCTTTTAAGATTTGGATTTTTATTTTTGATTATCTGTATCGGTGAGGAAGGGAGTGCACATGAGTTTAGTGTTCCAGGCCAGGTAGAAGACATCAGATTCGCTGGAGCTGGCGCTACAGGAGGGAGCTAAGCTGGGTGCTGAGAGGGTAACTCTGGCACTCTGGGAGAGCAGGGCTTGCCTAACCACCAAGCCACCTCTCTAGCTACTCCCTTCATATTCCTTTTTGGAGATGTTTTTATAATAGGGACTCATTTTTGAGCATTGTACACCAGACATTTTTAACAAGATTCAACAAGATGCTACTAACATATTAGTGCGCGCGCGCGCACACACACACACACACACACACACACACACACACACACACACACTTTTAAAACAAAAGGTTATATAAGACTGGAAAAATGGCTTAGTGATCAACAGTACTTCCTGCTCTTCCAGCCAAGTTTGATCTCTAGCACCCATGTGGCAGCTCACAGACATCTGTAACTATTGTTTCAAATGACCTAGTACCCTCTTCTGGCCTCTGCAGATACCTGGTACACAGACACATATGCAAGGGAAACATTCATACTCATAAAATAAAAATAAACACACCTTTTTAAAAAAGATTATATTCTAGTTTCAGTTCTCCATGTCTTTAATCTATCATTTAAACACGTGCATATGACAACATTAATGCAGAAAACTGTTTCTGTTCAGAGCAACTGAACTGAATGTTCATTTTTTTTTTAAATACATTATCTGCCAGAGAAAGAATCTATGGCCCTTCCATAGATTTCACAAGAATTTCAATAATAACAACAAATTCTGCCATATAACCTTATATGTATTAATTATCCAGCAAGAAAGCTAGGCACATCATATAAATAATTTTTATCATCCCAGTACCTATGGAAAAGATATTATTCTTCCCATTTTACAGATGAAATAAATGCAAAGCTGACATTCACGTTACTCTCACATGCTTAACTTTACAGGCACTAAAGTTGTCTCAGAACATTAACAATCTGTATGTCAGATGAGGTGTTGAGTCATAAAAGTGAACTTTTAAATGATAAAAACTATGCTTAACTTAAATAAACATTTGATAGCCAAAAGATTAGCCAGACACACTATTGTTCATGTCTCCCCTGTAGCATAAATTCACTTCAGTTGTTTCAATATTGGAGAAGAAACATAAAGGAAGCTAGAATAAATTATCATATTGTGTTTAATAGCTAGTCTATATCAAAAAAATCTTCCCACCTGATACTTGGTATACATATTCAATCCAATGAGCTTCATTAAAGTTAATTGCCTTTCTTAAAAACATACTTGTCTCTCAAAGTTAAAACTACCAATGGCATAATGTGTTTCAAAATCAGAAAAAAAATAACTTCTGAGTAAAAACACTAAATTTCTTATTTTTTTTAAATGAAAACAAAACCATCATAATTTGCTATATATTTATCATACAGTGAGCTCTCCCTACCAAGATTTTTTTCAGATAGCCAAGTCATCCATCAAGACACCATGTGAAGAAGTCTAGATATTTATATAACAGAGGAAAGAACGCTTCCAGGTTATCTTTATTTTCCTTAACAAGACACACACACATAAAAATGCATTTATATTATCATTATTTTACAAATATAAATAATACCAAGAATTCAAGTACAGTCAAGTGCAGACGTATTTCCTATTTGTTAATATGTAAACATAAACTAACTATATACATCACGTGCCTTTGGCCCAGCTGCAAAATAAAAGACATCAAAAGAAACCCTGCACTTGACTGTTCAGTTGCATTCTTAATGAGAATCCGTACCAATGTCTATGTAATGAAGGTAACAGCTTTCAGTATCACTTCATGTAAACACCTAAATAGATATTTCCTTCCCACGAGCAAATATCTCAAGAGTTAAAATTTAACGATGAAGTATTCAAAATCTTAATTATGTTTCAATCCTTAAACACTATTCAAGAAATTATTCCTAGCCAAAATTGTTCCTATGTCAAAATGGGTATTATTTACAAGTTATACATATAGAAAACAAAATGCTTTAAAAAAATTTAGAATGCACAAAGTATTTAACAGCTATGTCTCTGCATATTAACTGATACCACATGCTTTTACTTTCAATGCCCAGTGATAGGACTTGGACACACTGAACTTGCTGGGCAATCTGAATTTGAATAATATTAAGCATGTATCTAAAAGGCAATTTTTTTCTTGAGTACCACAAAAAAAGCAATAACTGACATCAACAAGACTACAAATATCCAGTTGAAGGCACATAGAAGTATTTACTACTTTGTCACCAAAGATTCTTCACTTGGTTCAAGCTTAGAAGCAGAATCAGCTCTGAGAACAGCTGACTTGGCTTCATTTGCTGATGTTTCCTCATTCTCAGTCTCTTCTTGTTTCTCCTCTGACTCCTCTGAACCAGATGTTTTTTCAACCATTTGGCTTGTCTGCTCTGTAACTGGTATTTTGTCATCTCTCTGCTCTGTACTACAATCAAGAACATCTTGTTCTTCTAAAGATTCTGAAAAAAGAAAAAGACATAAGACCTCAGGGATATCCAAATGTCAAAACTGCTAAATAAGACAAGTCAAAGATAAGCATACACACATGCTAAGAAATAGCAGACTGGTCCAACATAACCTTTTAAGTATTTTACAATAAGTACTTAATTCTATACCATACCACTTAGAAATTAGTATAACTGAATAACTGGAAGAAATAAACCCATACCTTTATCATTTCATACACAATAAGCTTCTAAAGATACATCTGTAAGCTCAATGTCTAAAACTCAAGGCTCCAAGAAAATGAAATGCTATACATGCATTGATTTTTTTTAACAACTTGACACAAACTTGAGTCACCTTGGAAAGAGAGAAGAGCTACCTCCATGAGACTGCCTATGAGCTTGCGGCATTTCCTGATTAATGATTGATGTGGGAGGGCCCAGCCCACTGTGGGGAGTGCCAACCTTGGGCAGGTGAACTTGGGTTTTACTTAAAAAAAAAAAAAAGTTGAGCAAGTCACAGCGGGGGGTGGGGTGGGGGTAGGCAAGCCAGTAAGCAGCACCCACTGTGTGGTCTCTACTTCAGTTCCTGCCTCCAGGCTCTTGTCTTGAATTTCTGACCCAACTTCCCTCAATGGCGGACTGTGACCAGGGAGTTCAGAGTTGTAAGAGGAAATAAACCCTTTCTTCCATGACATTGGTTTGGGTATTTTATCACAGCAAGAGAAACCTAACAATAAAGCAAAATAAGGGAAGAACTAAGAGGCGAGCCTGGTGGCGGTGCTGCACGCCTGTAGTCCTAGGGCAGAGGCAGGGGACCTGTGTGAGTTTCAAGGCCAGCCTGCATCCCATGACAGCCAAAGCTATACAGAAAACACTGTCTTAAAAAAAGGAAAAAAAAAAAAAGTCTAGAAAACAAAACAAATATACAATCTCCCAGGTTACGGAACAGAAAATCATTTCCCTTCCACCTAAGCAAAACTGTAAGCAATGTGTAACTGTATACTTTTGTGCATATGCATGCACATGAAATGTATGTATGTATGTATGTAGGCAGTACTCTCCCCATCTTATTATTCAAGGATGAGAGAAATCAAGATCTACTTTTTCTGCCTATATATTTGTCTCCCCTTAGCCCTACCCAAGCTCTCGCTATTTAGGGATCTGAATACAATTGCATACTTTAGTGTGCTAAGATAAATAAGGTAAGATAAATAGACAAAAGGTCCTTTTGTCTATATACTGAAAGTTGTGTTCTTAGTCCCTGCCTAAAAATTTACTCCCTTTAAATTCCATTTTTGAGTTTTAACTTAGATCACTTAATAATAATAATAATAATAATAATAATAATTTAATAATAACAAGTTTACTAATTAAACTTTATTTAATTCTTTACATTTCTAAAGCATGAGATGAGGGAGTGGTAAAAGCAGAGAAGCTTTAAGTCATGTAATTTTCAAATCAAAGATACAAATCTAGCTTTAAAGTATTTTTTCATAATAAAACTAATATTCCTGCTAGAAGAAAAATAATTAAACTACATGAGCTGAGCAAAAGGCAAACTTTTCCTATACTCATAGTGTTCTTTATGATAAACTGTGTTACTGATACAAACAAAGCAAAACAAAACCAAACCTGGGGGAAGGCCAGCCTGCTTAAGAATTAAAGGTTCTAGTTAAATCCCTCGTAACATATAGCTCAAATTCCACAAAGTAAATAATTTTTCAAGAAAATTATGTATATTATGCGCACATTGGTATGGAAGTACTAGAAATCCACGGTTTTAGCACAGTAGGTCAATAACCACAAGCACATCTTTTGTCAGGACTTGGAAAGTATTTTTAAAGTGTTATCTCAAACAGCTATGTCCTGGATTTCCATTACAACAACTTTCATCTTTACACGATAAAGGCCCAGATTCCACAGTTAGGGCATCCACATAATGATGTCTTACTGAATGACAATTCAAACAGCTGATCACAAAAAGTAGTGAGGAATGGTCATAAATCATACTTGTGACACATGATTATAGGAACCCTGGTTTGTTATAATACAGAACTTAAATGGCATTGCCGCACCACTTGAAATCTTAACCGAAACCCAGGAAAGAAATGCAGTAAGCGACATGAGTTTTGTTAAATGAGCAGGGCAGAAAGGGCAAGTGAAACTCTATGAATATATACAAACCATTTCTGCTATAAAAGCAAACAAGTTCATCTGCAGAAAACTTTGGAGTTACCAACCATGTGTAATTCAAGCCCCACAGAATTTTAAGAGTCATGGTTTTCTACCATTCTTCTGGCCATAAAGCAATATATATTCGGCATGAACATTGCAATTTGTCTGTAAGCCTTCAGAAAGGAACCTATTAAGCCACAAAAATGAAAAACAAACAAAACAGAAGGCTAATAACATAGGGCACAACTCACAAACACCATGTTTAAGTGAACACAGGCACATAACACTGGCCAAAACCTAACAGAATGACACAACAGCAACAGGGTCAAGGTTCAAAGTTTATTAAACCTTTGTAATATTAACTTCAAAAACTTTGCCATGTCAAATCCAATTTTAAAATTCTAGGTTTATATAAAAACTCTAATAGAAAAAATAGAACTATACTATTGGAAATTTCAAACATCTATAATACATGAATTCAAAGACTACCATGTGTCTCAATAATTAGAAAATATGGCACAATTTCCAGTCAAAATTATAGTTCAGAAAATATATAGAAAACTAAAAACTCAGTGAAATGATAAATAGGATAAGTGAAGTGTCTATTCCCTTGGGTTGACCTGTAGAAAAACAATCTTGATGGAAACAATAATTAAACAAAACAAAACAAAACCAAACAAATAAAGAGCCTGGCATGTGACACGTCTATGAAACAAATCATAGGATTTGATGTTGAGAAGTCAATCCCAGCTTACAGGAAACCATACAAACAAGATCTAAATGACCAGGTGCACAGTATCAACAAATATGTAGCAATTTCACATTTAAACATTAGAACATCATAACAAGACCATGTACAATTCCTGAAGTATTTATTTCTATAGGAACATCATTTGCCTATTCTAAGGAAAACAAAAATTGGGAAATTTGTTGTTGTTTTAATGAAGCTGCAATTTAAAATAGTTTGGAAATGTAAACTACACTTTAAAAGATGTTAGTATTTGACCATAAGATACCAAAGGACTAAGTCTCAAAATAGCGACTTGAATGACCTAATTATATATGCAAGAGAAAAAAATTAAAATCAGGTTTGGGATTTTTATACAAAATAAACAATAAACAGCATACCACAATGTAACATAACAAAAATGACATGAGTCTGTTTTGTCTCCTCTTCCTGTACCCCACCCTCCACACCAATATTACTAAGAAAGCAGGGTTTCTAATAACAGCAACTGGTAACTGACTGTTCAGGCTAAGTCTCAGCTTAGCTAGACAAGTCAAACTCCAAACTGAATGGACTGTAATAAATGCAATTGCTTCACCTATAAACACACACATACAACAAAATATAAGATCCTTACTTTAGCTTTAGACTTCTATCCTAGCTTCTAAGAAAAAAAATTAAATAATCTAGCAAAACAGCTTGATTTGTTTTTGCCTTGGAAAGAAATCAAAACTTGGTCTTCTAGCACATCAGTGCTCGCTATAGAGGTACACTATACATATTCCACCCCATCATTAAATTAAAATTGGCAATTTTTGTTTTTAATCCCAAAGGTTGTAAAGGCATTTTTCACAAGATTTGTCTTCCTTAGAGTCAATATATTTAAAGAACAAAGGCAAGAATTTCATCCCAACTCCTAAGAACGACTCATTATAACCAATTTTAAAAAATACTGAAATTCAAAACAGAATACTATTTGGTTGTTTAATCATTGGTTAACAATTTAATTAAACAAATTAAGAGTTTCATTAAAAGTTAATGAAATGACTCCTAATGATATTCTGCTATATTCAGTGGATCTAGCCCAATCATCATCAGAGAGGCTTCCCAGCAGCCAATGGGAACAGATACAGAGATCCACAGCTAGACATTAAGCAGGGCTCAGGGAAACTCTGTGAAAGAAAGGGAAGAAGGACTGTAGGAACCAGAGGAGTCAAGGACACCAGAAGAACATGGCCCACAAAATCAACTACGCAGGGCTCACAGACTGAGACGGCAACCACAGAGCTTGCGTAGGTCTGTGCGAGGCCCTCTGCAAACATGCTGTGGTTAGGTCTGTGCGAGGTCCTCTGCAAACATGCTGTGGTTGTTTAGCCTGATTTTTTTTTTTTTTGACTCCTGACAATGAGAGTAGAGATGTCTCTGGCTCTTTCACCTGCTCATGGGATCTTTGTTCTACTACTGGGTTGCCTCATCCAGCCTTGATAGGAGGGTATATGCCTAGTCGTCCTACATCTTGTTTTACTGAGTGCAGGCAATATCACTGGGAGGCCTGCTCTTTTCTACAGGGAAAGGAGCAGTAGGTCTAGGGGAGAAGGGAGGTGGGTGAAACTGGAAGGCTATGGCTGGGATGTATTGTACGAGAGAATAATAAATTTTAAAAAAAGTTTCTTTAAAAAGCAATGACCTAAAACTAAACCATTAAGTAGAAGTGATTAGAAAAAAAAAAGTCAGAATATCAAATTATATCTGTATCTAAAACAAAATACAGCAATATACTATTCAGAAAGTTGAATATAAATAAAAGTTGAAGCTTTTGTGAGGAGTCTGATATATGCATATTATCAAATGGTACAATTTCCTAGAGCATCATAAGAAAAATACTAAAAAACAGAATTCTTATTAATTCAATATAACCTAATAGTAACAATTTGCATAAAAGAAAAGTAAATATCAGATTACAGACAAATTTTATATTACATAAAGTTTAGTTTGCCAGTATTAGGTAGAGGCCATGAATTTTCATATTACTGAGTGAATACAAGCCATTTTAACTAAAGTAATTCCATGAACCTTAGATAAACACCACTGAGCAATAGAAACAGTATTTTTCAAACATGGTAGCAAAAATAGAATCACTAAACTTATACAAAAATGTAGATGTTGTTACTCTGATTATGAAGGCTGTGAACAGAATGCTGGATACAAAGTATTTTGAAAAGCATTTTATTTATCACCATTATTATTAGTGCTGGGCTGGTGCACGCACCAAGGCATGCCTGTGAGAGCCAGAGAAAAACACTATGGAGCAGGTTCTCTCTTTCTACCTTTATGCGGACTCAAGGGATCAAACTTTCATGGCAAGTTACTTGTACTCACTGGGTCATCTTGCTGACCACAGGTTTGAGGGAGGAAAAACCTAATCATCCACTTAATGTCAGTTGCAAAATTAATTTTTTATGTATTTGTGTATTATTTATTTATACATTATAATTTAATCATGAAAGGAAATAAGGAATCTAAAAGCAAGTCCTTTTTGGTATGCCATACCTAGTATACATTTAGAAATACAACAATTACTGTCTCTAGTTTCTTGTGCTTTTATTATTTGTTATCAAAGTATTTGGATGTACAATTCTAGATTTTTTTTTAAACTCAAGGATTAAGAGCAATTTCTTCTAAGTCTCTGGTAAAAAAAAAAAAAAACTTGACAAGATCCATATGCTGTTCTAAAAAGTGATTCAGAAATTTTAAAAACCTTACCTAAATGCAACTATCAGAATCCAGACAAAACTTAACTATAAAGACACATGGTGTAGACTGGAAGGAGAAATTCTTAGTTCTGAATCATTTATATAAATGCTTGTTGGTATGTGGTGAGAGAAAATTTCACAAGGAAATCACCTTTTCATAGTATTTGTAAATTCAACATAATCTGTGCAGTTTCCGCTATCAAGAAGCTATTTAATACGCTTTCAAAATACAAAATGACAGGAGGGTTTTCTGTTGTCTGGGAGCTTCCAGCCAACAGCAGATGGAGACAGATGCTGGGACTTGTAGCCAAGCATGGGGCAGAACTCTGGGGTTCCTGAGGAAATGTTTGGGGAAAGATGGAAGTACCTGGAGGGGACATGAACCTCACAAAAAGGCCAACAGAGACAACTGACCCAGTCCCATGGGCCTTTCAGAGACTGAGACATCAACTAAGGAGCATGCATGATATGGACCTAGGGCCCTGCACACATGTAGCTGACAGGCAGCTTGGTCTTCATATGGGGCCCCTGGAGAGTTGAGGTCTATTGTTTTTAACATGGACTCTGAACTCTATTGCCTGCTTTTAGATCACTTCTCCCTAGCAGGGCTGCCTTGCCTGTCCTCAGGGGATGAAGATAAGAGCAGTCCTGATGTGACTTGATGTGCTGGGGAAAGTTAATATGGGGGGGGGGGTGGCTCCACTTTTCTGGGGGGAAAGGGAGAAAGGGAAAAGGAGGGAGAGTGGGAGGAGGGTACTTGGGATGTAAAGTAAATAATATAAAATTTTTAAAAATGCAGAATGAAAACAAAATGTCTGTCCAGTCGGTCCTCAATTTTCTACAGAATGAAGAATTTAGAAATCAGAATGTTAACCTCCCAGCTACACTGGCTATCAGCATAGAGTAGATGATGGAAGTCATACTGTCATATTTAATGGCTCAACTCAACTACATGGTACACCACCAGTGTTTATGACAAATACAGTCCTTTGTTCGTCAGAAACACTTAGTGTCATTTACTATAGGATCCAGGATTGGACTGATAACTGTGTCTGTCGCAGTGTAACAGGAGTCTTGGAGAAAAGTTTCCATCTTCTGAAGAATCAAAAAGGAAAAAACGTGGCTGGCCACGCTGATGAATCCAAAGAGAAGTACGAGAAACTTACTACTCTAAGTGTCCTTAACAAATGGAATTATTTCTTCGGCCTTTAGTACTACGGAGTCATCAGACCCTGCCTCAAGTTCGGTCTTCACCTATTAACATTACCTTACTGGGGTTCACTTTGAGCCAGTTAGACTTCATTCCGGAGATTTCAGATAGAAAATGAGACATCTGAGGTATTGTTCCTCCTAGATTAGATGAGAAGGAAAGGTATAGCTGTATGTTGTTTGCTAACTATCCATCTTGACCTTAGTAGAAGAAATAAAAAATAGGACCCATTATCAAGATTTATATTTTGCTGGCTTTTCTTTTCCTCTTAGAAAACACTACTGGTTTTCAAGCATTCACTTTAGCTTTCTTAAGCAAGGTTACTCATGGAACGGACTTCAGTTTTTCCTCTAGGCATCTTCAGTATAAAATCCTTTATTCTCAGTTCTAAGAGGCAGCAATGCCAAGGCAGATGGTTTGCATGTGTCAGCATGCAGCTCAGAGCATGACGTAAGCAAAAGAAAAAGGTTGACACTGTGTTTGGAGTTGATGCTGCAGACTTGGAGACGAAGATGCATTCACTCAGCGTTGGAAGTACACAGGCTCAGTCATAGCTGTCTGTATTCACGTTCACTTTGATATTTGTTAGTAAGCCAAAAGCCAAGCCCAATTCCACACATATTTCAGGTTCATTCCTCAAAGTTTAAAAAAACAAAACAAAACAAAAACTTGAATCTCATACTAACCTTGTGCTATCTAAAATATTCACTGCTTCACATAATGCAGCAATATTAATGCTCTTATAAAAAAACAAATCAAACATATGTAAGTGATAATTGCTACTAAATTTGTGAGCTTCCAGTATATTTTTATAGACTAGTCACAGCACAAAAATATTATAGTCTGTTTCAAAATTTTAGCCATCTTCATGATTTAGAGCTGAGTAACAAAAAAAAAAAAATTGAGTAACTACTAATTAAAGGAATAGTTCGAAATTTTCTACTTCACCTTGTCCATTTTTGCATGAAACTTCCTTAAGAATTCCTAAGATAACTGGGACTCATAACCAAACCTCCGGCAGAGTGGAGGGAATCAAAAAAAGGAGGGGGGGAGTTAGTACGACCTGGAGAGGACGGGCGGGGGAGTCCACAAGGACCAAATATATCTGGGCACAGGGGTCTTTTGTGAGACTGTTTCTCCAAACAAGGACCATGTATGGACGCAACCTAGAGACCCTACTCTAGGTTGTAGCCCTTGGTAGCTCAGTGTCCAAGTGGGTACCCTAATAAGGGGAACAGGGACTGTTTCTGACATGAACTCAATGGCAGGCTCTTTGACCTCTCCCCGCTCCCCCTTCTGCCCCCGGGAGGAGCAGCCTTGCTAGGCCATAGAGGAGGACTTTGCAGCCAGTTCTGAAGACACCTGATAAACCAGTATCAGATGTAAGGGGAGGAGTGGACTTGGAAAGGAGCAGGGAGGAGATGAGGGTGGGAGGGTGGAATTGGGAGGGAAAGAGGGAGTGGGATACAGCAGGGATACAAAGTTAACAAACTGTAACTAATATTAAAAAAATAAAAATTAAAAAAAAAGAATTCTTAGACAGAACTGCAAAATGAATTCTAAAACAAAAGCTCTTATAAATTTTATTTCTACACAAAAAAAGTGACACCTTTATCACAGGCAATGTTAAGCTCATGGAGCGCTAATAAACTGTCTAAATGAAACACATACTATTAATTAACCAAGTTGTCCAAAATATGCAAAGATGACTTTCCAACTCCTAAGTTTCCTGTTTTCTGGTCATTTCTACCAATTTGAGTAGTATGCACACATATTATAAATATTTTGTCCTTAGAACAGTTGTTTCATAATGTCAGTGCTTCATTTAGACACATCAAAATGAGTCCAGGAGAGCACCACTAGTCAAGTCTCTCGGACTTCAGAAGAGTTCATTCCGTAAACAATGCTTAACCAACTGGTGCGAAACGCTGCTGATCACAACATGACCTGCACTGGAAAACTGAAACACATCATCCCAGTCACAGAAGAAGCCATCAGTGCAATAGCTGACACATGCATGCTGAAGAATCCAATAAACTAATTCATTGTCATCTTTAATACATGTTGTGCTTTTATCATTAGGCTACACACACTACCAAAACAAACACTTCAGTTAACATGTTCATACCTTCACTGAGCTGGCTCTCCAGGGAGGGCACACCTTCTGATAACACGGGACCAGCTGAACTTGAGCCTTCCACTGCCTGCCTCTTCTCAAAACTAAACTCTGGAAGTCGTGGAGCTTGAGGTCTGGTTTTTCTTGCAGGATTCAAGAAAAAACAGTAGGCACATCGAAAAGCTGAATTAAAAAAAAAATTTAAATAAAGAGATAAAAATCCATCAACCAAATTTCAAAAATTAAACAGACAACTCACAAGGTTACTTTTAGAAATACTTTCATAAAATTTATAACTTAATTTGTAAATGTATAACTTCTGTTATAATTTGTTACCTTACTATACATGTTCTCATCAACATAAATTTAAAGCATATGCATAATTACTATGAGAATTTCAATATTAAAGCAGAAAAGGTATAACAAGTTAACAGTTAAATAGCAAAACTATATAAATAATGAAACCATAACAATAATATAAATTAAATACTTGACTGAACTTGCATTTCTAGTCAATAGAACAATTACATATTTTAAAACCCAGAACCTTGTTCAAGAAGATGAAGTATGTTAAATTTCTGAAGCATAATTTATCATGTGAGCATTTAATAAGAGCTGCAAGTGAAAGTAATTGGTGATCTTAAATGTAAACGTGAATGCTTAGATTGTACCCAATAATGAAATCACACTTCTGGAAGGTGGGTCTGAGTAGTAGAACATCTGAGAACAGCTGTCCTACAGGCTGTGCATTATAAGGAAGAACTTGAGTTATCTTTTCTGCCTTGTTTTAGTATTAAGTAACAAGACAATGTACTGGACAATATGTATAGGCAGTATCGAAAATAAAATGGCATTACATGGAGTGGACTGGAATGATAAATTTATAAGTAAACTATTATAGAAATCCTTACCAATATATTCAAATTCTTCCTTCAAAGCCATGCCATTGTGAGAAAAACACTGCTGACATATGAGGGCATACCTACACCACAGGGGAAAATGACACACTGGTTACAAATACAGATAAAGCTCACTGGAGTGGTCACTCAGTCATCCTGACTTCTATTTAAACACAGATGACTATGCCATAGTAAATGTTACCAGATCATTAACAACACTCCTTAAGCAAAAGCTAAAGTTAATAGAAAACAAAATGCAACCAGTTTGAAACACAATTTAGGAGTCAGGAGTATGGCTCAGTAATACGGTGCTTGCTTGGCATATGCAAGATCCTGAGTTCTTTCCTCAGCACCTAATAAATAAATACTGAAAACTAAAGTATACAGAGAACACAGAACATTTAAAGGTACGTATATGTGTGTGTACATAGTACGTATGTATGTATGTGTATACACACATGTACATGTGTGTATGTACATACGGGCATTTATTTATTTACTTACTTATTTATTTGCTTGCTTGCTTATTTATTTATTTATTTATTTATTTTCTATATGTGATAGTAAAAAAAAAAAAAAAAAAAAAAAAAAAAAAAAAAAAAAACCCTAAAGGACAGTTGAATATACCTTAAGTTAACAGAAACAAGTTTAGTAATCAGGAGCTTGAGAAATGGCTCAGTAGTTCAGATCATAGCATATACTGTTCTTGCGAAGGACTTGAGTTTGGTTCCCAGCACTTACATAAAACAGCTCACAACCACCTATAACTCCAGCTCCAGTGAATGCATGCCTCTGCCTTCTGTATGCACCTGCATTCACATACACACACGCATACAAAACTTTTAATATTTTTTTAAGTTCAGCTTAGAACACTGAAGTTTCTCAATAATTTATTATTCCTTGAGATGATGGCTTCCAAGTTTGTGATTTGATAAAACTGGAAATGATGGATGGAACCTTCTTAGAGATTCACAACAAAAATTTTGAAAAAGAAACCCTGGGAAATCTTGCAGAAAATAAATACATTTAATTCTATATAATTAGGTCCTGTGTCTTTCTCACCTATTAGTTACACCTAAATATCGTTCTCATTTTCTGTTCTCTAATCAGAACTCAACAGATTCTTGGCTCAACCAAATCATTGTTTTGAATAATAAATAACTTAGACTAGCAGTAAACTATGGTCCCTTTATGAAACTGATAGCATCTAATAAAGCTGTCCAACAAGTTCTCTATCTCGTGAGCTTTCCTCAAAGTCTACATAGTGACAAGTGCTCTGCACACTCGTAACGACCAAGGACCAAGTGATATAATAACCTGAGAAACACTTGAGAAACTGCAAAAGCTCAACAGTGCAAACTGTTCTCATTACTATTGAAAGAATTTCCACAACCATGATAGCAGACATAGTAAAACAAAGTAAAAATACAAGCCAAATATCACATGTATACACATACGCTGGCCAATGTTTTTTCACGTTCCTTTTCTACTAGCCTAGCAAACATTACCTGTTCTGTGGACCATCACCAACTAAATATTCAACAATTCTATCCAGAGCACCTCGTTCTCGGGGGAGAATGGGTCTTGCTAAGGGTGGACCTGGAGGATGAAGGCCTAGCAAATAAATAAAAACACATGAGATTTGTATGTACAACATACACAAGATTAAATTCAACTTCCAAAGCAATCTAAGTACATTAGAACATTTAAAAGCTTTAACAAAGTGAGAAAACACTCTTATCATATGAATCTCTGTACAGCATATTTTCATTAAAACTACCATGCTATAAAAATCTAGTACATATGTACTACATTAGAACCACCAACAGAATTCATTACAATATGAAATTCTGTTGAGCTTCGCACAAACTAATTTTTAAAGCCTGAAAGCCTATGGTAATAATTTGAAGACTTCTACTTTGGACTCATAGTAACAGATCAGGTTAACCTTCTCAAAAGACAGTGAGAAATATATGAAGTGTATTAAGAATTAACATGTGAACCAAGCAATATAGGTTAAATTTCCCTCAGAAACTAAACATCAAGACAAACCCTACAACTACCCCACCCTTTGGCTTACAGACAATTTCTAAGCAGAGGTATGAGGCTAAGCACAGAAGAGCTAGAGCTGTCTCCCAAAGCTGAGAACACAGCACTGGAACTCTAAGGAAAGCCAATGCAGCTCAAATTCACATGACAGTGCCAAAAAAAGAGAGATGACATGATGAAAAAAAAAAACATCTACAAAGTGCCTATCAAAAACACTCAGCAGATTACTGCCCAGCTCATGCATCTGAGAAAACTATTTGAGAATTAAAAAAAAAAAAAAAAATCTCCTTCAGAAGATTAAAGAAGACAGTATTCACACATAGTCAGAGTGACTGTCTATTTCTAAGGGCTAGACTAGAAAATCTAAAAAAAGGGGGTGGGGTATTACCAAGTAAGGTAATACTGAATTATAATAAGGTAATACTGAATTATATACACTGAATATATAAGGTAATACTGAATTATACTGAATAATTCTGAATAATTATACTGAATAATACTGAATAATTCAGTATTACCAAGTAAGGTAATACTGAAAATGTCTGGCATTTGAAAAATACTAGTCACGTAAAAATACAAACATACAACAGATAAGAAAAAATAAAAATAGTTTCAGATATGACTGAATTGGTAGGTAAAAATACTGAACATTCTATCTATGTCTGTCTTCCACATGTTTGCGAAGATCTAATGGAAATCTAATGGAAATATGAGGTATGTTAAGTAAAGACATGGGGATTCCAAAACTAAATTTCACAGATGAAGTCTACAATGTGTAGGATAAAAAAGTCCACAGATGGAATAAACAAATACTTAGACATTATACAAAAAGTAAGATTTTGGTGTACTTGATGACATAGCAATAGAAACCATACAAATAAAACAAAAAAGGCTAAAAATTAATAAGTTGTAGAACAATTTCAAAAAGTCAAATGAACAGTTCTCTAGAGAAAAGAAAATATATACATAACTGAAGAAATACACAATTTTTCTAAGTTTGAAAGTTTTAAAACCACGTATCAAAGAATGTTAATATTCTAAACACAAGTCATATAATTTTGCACACAAACACCCAACAATGATCAAATTGCTTAAAAGTAAGCCAAAAGGAGTACATTATAGCGAAAATGAAATAAGAGTAACAACAGACTTCATCAGATGCAAACTAAAATAAAACTTATTGTTAACATTCTGAAAATGAAAACCATCAGCATGAATCTGTATCCAGCATAAATATCTTTTTTTTAAATGAAGGCAATGCAAAGTGAGGTCTTTTTCCAGATGTTCAAAACAAAGAATTCATCATTGGTCAAACTACATTACAAGAATAATTTTTAAGAGTCCTTGAGGCCAAACAAAGTGACAATAGGTTAAAAAAAAAAAAAAAAGGATCTGGGTGCAGCAGAGGATCAGCTGTCAGCATGGGCAGTTCTTGCAGAGGTACTGCATTTGTTTGCCAGCTCCCAAACAGGTGCTCACAATCATCTGTAACTCCAGTCCCTTAATATCCAATGCCCTCTTTTATCGTCCATGGGAGCTAGGTTCACAAACGTGCTGTTGAGCCTGGTATGAGTACCTCTCATACCAGGACCTGGGCAGTAGAAGTATGTGGAACTCTGCATGCACAGCAAGTTCCAAGCCTACACAGTGAAACCACATAACTGAGTAAAGAAGAACTAATTGTGGGTTTACATGTGTAGAAGTGAAATGTAAAAATGAAAGCAAAAAGGAAAAGTAGCAGATTATCTACAGAAAGTGAGAAATGTAAGAGTAATATCCTCAACAATATCTGAAAGTCCAATAAAGTTTTTAAAAAGAATTAACTACTAAATAACAGAAGACCAAGAAAGAAAAAAAAGTAAGTATATTTGTCAGATCTTTAAAGCTGTGTGAGATAGCATCACTTCACTTGAACTGTGATTAGAGATATTTACTAAACCTCAAACAACCACTAAAATCACATGCCAAAATAATTGTCACAAACAATATGGCAGTGAAAAAGGTTAAGTGTAGTCATAAAAATGTTCCGTTCAAAGGGATGCAGAAATTGAGGGAAAGGGTAGCACATGCATAGGAGAAATGGGTTTACTTCAAATGGAATATTTAAACTCAAACCCAAACATAACCACTATATCAAATTTATATGGTCTAAATACTCCCATGATGAAACAGACTGTCAGACTGGATAAAAAAGCAACTCTTCAATGTATGTTTTTAAATAAAAACATAAAAAACTAAGTAAAATGGTAGAAAAATATATAAATGCTAAGACGAAGCATACGAAGCCTTGGATGACTGCAAAGTTCACAATGACAAAGGCATCACTTATCAAGACCAATGGACCAAGAAGATGGCACGGTGGATAAAGGTGCTTACCCGAAAGCCCGATGACCTAAATTCAATCGCTGGACCCCACATGACAGGGAGAACCTAATCTCAAGTTGTCCTCTGACCTCCATACACATGCACACACACACACATAAATGAATAAACGTGATGTTTTTTTCTTAAAGAACAATGTACCAAACATTTAAGTGCATTATAACAGAGCTTCAAATAAAACAGAAACTAACAAAAATTTAAGAAACGATAGACAAATAAAATTATAGTTGAAGGTTTTAACATTTTCTATCAATAATTGATTTTAAAAAATTAAATCTGGCCAGGTACATGCCTATAATCCCAGCACTCCTGGTATCAACTTGTATTAAGAGTTTCTATCGCTCTCACAAAACACCATGACCAAAACACAAAGTTGTGAAGAAAAGGGTTTATTTCGCTTACACTTCCATATTGCTGTTTCTCATGAAAGGAAGTCAGGACAGGAACTTTTGAACAAGGCAGGAACCTGGAGGCTGGAGCTGATGCAGAGGCCATGGAGGAGTGCTGCTTGCTGCATTGCTCCCCATGGCTTGCTCAGCTTGCTTTCTTATAGAATCCAGGACCACCACCTCAAGGATAGCATCAGGCACAATGGGTTGGGCCTTCCCCATCAATAACTAATTAAGAAAATGACAGCTGAACACAGTGGTGCAGGCCTGTAATCCCATCACTTGGGGAGGCAGAAGCAGGCAGATCACTGTAAGCGCAAGGCAAGCCTGTCTATAAACTGAGTCCAGGACAGCCAAAGACACAGAGAAACTGTCTCAAAAAGTAAACAAACAAACACATAAACAAAAATTAAATCTGCCTAAAATTAATAAAAGAAAAGACTTGAACACCAGCTTTACCTAAGGTACTTTTATACCTGCTCCACCCAACAGAAAATACGTTTTTTTTCAAGCACACACAAAACAGTTACAAAGACATGATATATGGGTCATAAAACAGGTCTTAATATGTTTAATCAGATCCAAAGAGATTGCAGTATATTTTCTGACTATAAAAGAATTAGAATCGGCATCAGAAAAAAAAAATATTAAAACTCACCAAAAATTTAAGATTCAGTAATAGATATCTAAGTAATTAAGGATGCACAGCAAAATCAAAATAGAAATTAGAAAGTATTTAGCTGACTTAAAAAACAAACAAACATAAAAAAATGTATTTGTAGCTAACACAGCAGTTAGGCAAACATTCTACCACTGAGCTACATTACTAGTTTCCAAATCAGATTTTTTTATTTCATACTTCATTTATCTATCTATCTATCTATCTATCTATCTATCTATCTATCTATCTATCTATTTATTTTTCTTGTGGTTTATTCACTTTGTATCCCAGCTGTAGCCCCCTCTCTAATCCCCTCCCAGTACCACTTTCCCTTCTTCTTTTCCTCCCATGCTCCTCCTAGTCCACTCATGGGGGAGGTCCTCCTCCCCTTCTAGCTGACCCTAGCCAATCAGGTCTCATCAGAACTGGCTGCATTGTCTTCCTCTGTGACCTAGTAAGGCTGCTTCCCCCTCAGGGGGAGGTGACCAAAGAGCCAGCCAACAAGTCAGAGACAGCCTGTGTTCCCCTTACTAAGCAACCCACTTGGAGACTGAGCTGGCATGGGCTACATCTGTGCAGAGGTTCTAGGTTATCTCCATGCATGGTCCTTGGTTGGAGTATCAGTCTCAGAATATACCCTTGTGCCCAAAAGTTTTTGGTTCTGTTGCTCTCCTTGTGGAGCTCCTGTCTCCTCCCCAGGTCTTTCATCTCACACTTCTGTCATAAGATTCCCTGCACTCTGTCCAAAGTTTGCCTATGAGACTCAGCATCTGCTTCGATCACCTGCTGGATAGAGTCTTTCAGAGGCCCTCTATGGTAGGTTTCTGTCCTGTTCCTTGTTTTCTTCCTCTTCCAACATCTATCCCATTTGCCTTTCTCAATAAAGATTGACCAGGGTCCTCCTTCTTGAGGGTCCTCCTTCTTGCTTAGCTTCTTTAAGTGTACAGATTTTAGTATGCTCATCCTATATTGTATGTCTAATATCCACTTATAAGAGTATATACCATGTGTGTCTTTCTGCTTCTGGGATACCTCACTCGGGATGATCTTTTCTAGATCCCACCATTTGCCTGCAAATTTCATGCTTTCCTTGTTTTTAATTGCTGAATGGTATTCCATTGTGTAAATTTACCACAATTTCTGTATCCATTCCTCCATTGAGGGACATCTGGGTTATTTCCAGATTCTGGCTATTATAAATAAAGCTGCTAAAAACATGGTTGAGCAAATATCCTTGTTGTATACTTGAGCATAGTTTGGATAAATGCCTAGGAATGGTGTAGCTGGATCTTGAGGTAGCACTATTTCTAATTGTCTGAGAAAGCGTCAGATTGATTTCCAAAGTGGTTGTACAAGTTTACACTCCCACCAACAATGGGAGAGGGTTCTCCTTTCTCCACATCCTCTCCAGCATGTGTTGTCACTTGAGTTTTCGATCTCAGCTGTTCTGATGGGTGTAAGGTGAAATCTCAGGATCGTTTTGATTTGCATTTTCCTGATGACTAGGGACGTTGAGCATTTCTTTGTTTCTCTGCCATTTAATATTCCTCTATTGAGAATTCTCTGTTTAGCTCTGTACCCCATTTTTTAATTGGATTACTTGATCTGTTGGTGTTTAACTTCTTGAGTTCTTTATATATTCTGGATATTAGCCCTCTGTCAGATATAGGGTTGGTGAAGATCCTTTCCCAGTCGTAGGCTCTTGTTTTGTTCTGATGACCGTGTCCTTTGCTTTACAGAAGCTTTTCAGTTTCATGAGGTCCCATTTATTGATTGTTGCTCTTAGAGCCTGTGCTGTTGGTGATCAGTTCAGTTGGTGGTCAATTGTCTCCCGTGCCAATGAGTTCAATGCTCTTCCCCATTTTTTCTTCTAACAGATTTAGTGTGTCTGGTTTTATGTTGAGGTCTTTCATCCACATGGACTTTAGTTTTATACAGGGTGATAAATAATAGTCTGTTTGCATTTTTCTACATGTAGACACCCAGTTGGACCAGCACCATTTGTTGAAGATGCTATCTTTTTTCCATTGTATGGTTTTGGCCTCTTTGTCAAAAATCAAGTATCCCCAGGTGTGTGGGTTTATTTCTAGATTTTCTATTTGATTCCATTGATCTACCATTCTGTTTCTATGCCAGTACCTTGCAGTTTTTATTGCTATTGCTCTGTAGTACAGCTTGAGGTCAGGAATGGAGATACCTCCAGATGATCTGTTGTTGTACAGGATTGTTTTAGCAATTCTGGGTTTTTCATTTTTCCATATGAAATTGAGAATTATTGTTTCAAGGTCTGCAAAGAATTGTATTGGTATTTTGATGGGCATTGCATTGAATCTGTAGATTGCTTTTGGCAGGATGGCCATTTTCAGTATGTTAATCCTACCAATCCATGAGCATGGGAGATCTTTCCACCTTCTGATGTCTTCTTCAATTTCTTTCTTCAGAGACAAAGTTTTTTTCAAACAGGTCTTTTACTTGCTTAGTCACACCAAGGCAAATTAGGGAAACTACACCTTTCACAATAGCCAAATTAGATGTTTAAAGCATTTACATCAACTTAACTTGCTGGAGTATTTTACTTTACATATTTAAAGTGAACATATTCACAGAGCAATCTGGATACATGAAACAAAAGACTTCATTAAAGTAACTTACCCTTTCTGCAATTTGGTAATAATTGGGTTAAATAACTTGGTAACTTTAAAAATAATGCATCTTAATATTCATGCTGCATGGGCAACAGCAAATAAACAACAAAAGCAATCATTTTTGGAGTGCTGGGCATTTTTACACAGTTTGGCAAATTATCAAGTACCTGCTGGTTATTAATTTTCAAACATATGGGAGCACTGTGGTAATGTACATTAAATTGATTCTCTTGTAAATATGTTAAAATAGAAAAATGAATTATTAATCTCTATGATAAATTATTTAACTCATTCACATTTTTTGGCAAAGTACAATATAAACAGTATTTCCACAGAAGCTATTAGAAACTTGAGCAAAACATGTTTTATTTACGTGCACATGAAACGTAAGCTTCAGTTCCTTGTGCAGCCCTCTATGCTATAGAGTATAGTCCTTATAATTAGGTAAGTGGCTAAGTGGCAAGAGAGTCAGAGACACTCACCAGATTTCTTACATTAAACAACCAAAACAAATTAACAAATTACGGGAATCTCATATCAATTATTCTTCAATCCATTTAACTTTTCAGTTTCACAAGCTATATGACTACCTTTATCATTACACATAAAATTTTGAGGTATCATTGAAATTATTTTAAATGCTGTAAGATTTTTATACATTTCATTTGAGTCAGTTCCATTAATTTGTAGATTAAGTTTCCTAGTCTTCTAAAATCTTAGTTGCATAATTAAGGGAACACAACAAGAATCTAATATAACACTAGAGTTTTTTATTTACATAAATGCTCTAATCACCTACCTGATTAAAGTAGGGTCTAGCCTCAAAGTCATTATAGACCTATTTATTCATACTAAAGTCTATAAATATAGAAATACTAAAGTACCTGAATTAGATAAATACCATAAATAATATAGCTTATTCTTATTTAATAATCTGTCACGGAAATATACATGAAATAATGTCATCTGCTAGAGCAGTGAGTGAATTTCCATGCCCCAACACACTTCAAAAAAATACAAAGTATCTGGCCATATGTTACACCCTGAATAAAATCTACAGATCTATCACACTTTTAATTAAACTTAAAAGGAACCTTTCAGAAAATACTACAGTTCCATGACTTAGAGGGAAAAAAATCTACTAGCTCCTATTTACAAAAGTAGTATCAGGCACTACAATCTTTGACTATTTTTCCTAAAATATGGTAATTGTCATGTTTTAGTGTCTATATGAGGAATTAGCAAAGAATATGAGTACTTTCCAAAGTGATCTCCTCTGTCCCTACCACATATAAATCTGGAGCCATCCTAAGAATTGAATATAAAAAGATAATGCTACACTGTAGACTACAGAATGCTACAAAGTTTTATTGCCATTTAAACAAAGAAGCCATAACAGTTAAATGAGCTCAAGAAATAGGTTTCAGTATCACAAGGTGCCAGCTGTAAAGAGTTATAGCTAATTGAATATGGAACTCCTGCTTAATCAGATAACTGCTCTATTTCCAAAAGAAATGCCATTTCCATACTGTCTGAAATGGCCCCATTTATTGGTAACCAGAGAAAACAATATAAACTGTAAATAACATTAAGTGCTTTGTTTACCCATTCCAGGAACTGAAGTAGCAGGAGATCCAAGGCGCCTGGGTAAGGCTTGAGCAACGGTCCTTTCAGGCGGTCCCCCGGGAGCTGATGCGTCCTTTGATGGCCCAGGAGATACTGGAACTTGTGGCGGAGGGCCCTGATTAGAGCTTGCTGGTGCTGGGGAAAGGTTTCTTTGAGCTACAGTTCGCTGACGAATCTCTGAAAATAGCAAGTATATTCTAGACTTAATGTCCAACATGTCATATTAGCCACAACCATAAATGATGTTGGCTAAAATTTTGTGGCACCAAAATAACACTGTATCTAACCACTTACAATGGGAACTTTACATAACACTGAAAATAGGACTCTTTATGAAGCCCTAATTCACCTGTATGTTTATACAATAAAATTTGATTTTTCTATCTACTGACATTTAAAAAATAAATTCAATATAAAAAAATCAGCACCCAGTTATGTGTTACATCTTTTTATAATAAGACTTCCTATGATATGGAAAAGAGAACATCATAATTGTTGAAACTTCAACAGTAGATTTACTGTTAAGACTAAAAATAGTAATTTTATTAAAGAAATATATACATGTATATTCTGGAATAATAAAAAATTCAAGTACTCATAAAATGCTATTAAAATATACTTCACTATTTAGATACCTATTTCTTCATACTAGGGTTACCTTATGGCAAATTTACTTGTGTCAATACATTCAGAGAAGGAAAACTTCCATTTTGTATATATAATGTTTTGTCACACATGAACCTTAGCTTTTAGAAATTACAAGATTCTCTGTAACAGAGAAATGTGCCAAATTTAAGTTGTTTCTTGGTTTTGTAGTTTTGTTGGATAATAGCTTCTCTCTCTCATTTACAAATTGTCTATAGCTACTTTCAAACAGTTGCAGAGTTGCAAAAAGGACTGTATGGCTCCAAAGGCCATTTATTAGCTGGTTATACAGAATATTTCATGATCCCTACCAGATGCCATAAATGAAAGTCTAACATTTCCTTTTACACTTAGTGTTAGAGAACAAGTAAAGAAACCCTTTGTAATCTTTTAATTCTACATATCATATTAAACTGCCAATCTCTCCAGCCTAAATTACTGGGCTGAAACTAAAAAAAAATGATACTAAAAAAATGACTGGCCTATACTTGTATATATACAAGTACATAAGACACTTTGGATTTGGATTCTACCTGACAGTTTTCAATTTTTTGTTTGTTTAGATGAGGTACATTTATTACAGGATGGCTTCAAACTCCCTATGTAATGGAGAATGACCTGGAACTTCTGACCCTCAAGCAGCCATCTCTCAAATAAGTGAAATTAGCAGCAGGCAGCATCAAGCCTAGGACTTCACATGTGCTAGGCAGACACTCTACCAATGCGCTACATCTTCAGCCTTAAAGTAAACTCATAACAAAAGAATAGCTTAATACTTTCACTAATAATCACAGTCAAGTAAGGCATGGTGGCCCACACCTGTAATCCCAGAGCTCAAAAGTCAGAGGCAGGTGGAATGCTGTTGAGATCACAGTCAAAAGTCAGTCACCAAGTATGAGAATATGTTTATATACACTAGTTTTAAATTCAAAATTAAGCCAACAGAATCAAACTACTATGTTAGAATAAACAAAAGGAAGGAAATAAAGTTTAAAATTATAAAATATGTTATAAGACTATATTCGAACTTCCTTAATTTTAGCTCTACTGTTTACTTCATATGCACGCAGCTTTTTCAAAATCGATATCTCTTAATTTCACTTCCTCATAATGAAAATAGTTAATGGTTATGGTTACTGTAAAGATTAAATGGAAAAATCAACAAAAAGAGTTTAGCCAGAGTACTTGCAAAGTACTTACTAAGCAATAGTTATTAGTATTAGTGTTAATAAATAGGTTTCATGAATTACAATAAGCAAAAACTAAGCAATATAAGCCAGATATGGTAATACACATGCAATTCCGGTGATAAAGAGGCAAATGTGGGGATAATCTCAGAGTCAGCCAAGGCTCCAAGGGAAACCCAGTCCAGGTCAAAAGCCAAGGGCTGAGGCTCTAGTGTGGTAGCGAAACAACTGCCAAGGACAAGCGAAGCCCCGAACCCAATCCCTAACACCAGGAAAAGTGAAAACGAAACGAGTAAGCCAAGCGCCCTCAAGCAATCTAGTTCCCAGAGTGATTACTTTTACAGGGAGTGGAAAGATGGCTCAGCAGTTAACAGCATTTGCTGCTCTTGCACAATATGTAGGTTCGGTTCCTAGCCCTCACATGGTAGCTTACAACTGTCTGTAACCTCCGTTCTAGGGTATTCAGCACCTTGCTTGGTCCTCCACAGGTACCAGGAAGGCAAGCAGCACACTTACACAGATGCAAAAACAAAAACAAAACAAAACAAAACAAAAAAAAAAACCTCATATACATAAAATTAAAAACACAGATTTTTAAATTATTTATTTATTTTATATGTAAGTGTTTTGTCTTCATGTATGTATGTCTACCATGTACATTCCTGGTGTCCTCATCAGATAGATCCCCTGGAAATGAAGTTATAAATGGTTTTGAGCAACCAGGTGGGTGCTGGGAACAGAGCCCAGGTCCTTTGTAAGAATAAGTGTTCTTCACCACTAAGAAATCTCTCTACACCTTAAAAATACAGATCTTAGGGGATTGGAGAGCCGGCTCAGTGGTTGGGAGCAGTGGTGGTTCTCCACGGGACCTGGGTTTGATTCCCAACACCCATATGGAAGTTCACAGCAGCCTGTAACTCTAGTTCCAGGGGTCTACTGCTCTCTTCTGGCCTCTTCTAGCACCAGGCACACATGTGGGACACAGATAAACATACAGCCTAATCCCTCATACAAACTAAATAAAATAAAAAAATACAGATATTCACACTAAATGTTTCATAAGTTATCCGAGTTTCTTTAGTGAAAATCTAACTTTATTTTAAAAATTAAAATCTGTACCTGTAGCTTTCTGTTAATTAACTCAAGATGAATATTCTATAATGAAAATAATGAGAACTTACTGTTTTTTTCAAAATTTACCTAGATTTTTTTCTTTCCTTTTTCCCCTTTTTGTTTGTCTTGTTTTGTTTTGTTTTGTTTTGGAGACACAGTTTCTCTATGTAACTTTGGCTGTCCTGGACTTGCTTTATAGACCTGGCTGGCCTTGAACTCACAGAGATCCACCTGCCTCTGCCTCCCCAAGTGCTGGGATTACAAATGTGCGCCACCACAACCAGCTGACCTAGAAATTTTCAATGGTGGCTTCAATACCAACTCCCAGCCCATGGAAGCCATAGATTTTTGGAAGTATCTCCTTAGCAAAAGGAGTTAAGACTGTGCAAGCACAGAGTTGCTTACAGAGTCTCACATACAAAGGTACCATGTCTTAGACATTATACTACCAGACATTATTTTTGTAATGTCTCTCAAGAGCCCCGATAGATAAAACTTCTCCCATCCCCTACTTTCCAAATTTAATCGTCATCAAACCATGTCAATCTACTCTTGAGTTCTCTCTCTCGGGTTCAGTGGTTCTCAATCTTCCTAATGACCCTTTAATCCAGTTCTTTGTGTTGTGGTGACCCCCCAATCATAAAACTGTTTTCATTGTTACTTCAAAGCTATAACTTTGCTACTGTGATGAACTGTAATGTAAATATCTGATATGCACAATTTCTAATATGTGACCCCTCTTAAAGGGTCACTGAACCTACAAAGGGGTTGAAACCCACAGGTTGAAACCCACTGCTCTCGTCCTTTTTTCTTCACTTCCATTGCCATAACTTTGTTTGGTGCATGTCCTCCTCTTTTATCTATACTAGATGATATCCTCTAGAGGATTTATGTCTCAGCTTTGTTCTCTGCTCTTATTTAATCTCCAAGCTTAAAAAAAAAAGTTTTCACTTTTCTCATTCTGGCCCGAGTGAAGTAGGCTCCTGGGCCAGTGAGACCCAGAGGTTTTTAGCACTGAGAGGTTGCAGACAGCTGCTCCACAGCTGTGATTATGCCACAAAATGAATATATTGAATTACACCATAAACGATATGGATATTGTTTAGATTACCATGAGAAAAAGAAAATAAGAAAGTTAAGTCAGGAGGCCCATGAACGTTCAAAGACAAAAAATAAAGTAAAATAGAAAAAACTGACCTGAAGACTAAGTTCTACCATGAACAGCACCATGCTGAAAAATGACAGATGGAAAGACTACTATGCTGCATAAAAAGAGAAACAGAAAGGATGAGGAGGAGACACCACAAGGAACAGGCCTGCCTCTGCTGGACAAAGAGGGACAGTCTAGAGCAAGGGATTTTTCAGTATGACTAAGCAGAGACAAAATGAGAAGGCAGGGAAATGGGAAGGCCCTCTAACCCAAAGTTCATACCCAAAGAGAAACAGAAGTACTGACAGTTATTAGAAGAGGAAAAAGAAAAGAAGGTGTGGAAGAGGATGGTTTGTAAAGTCTGCTTTGTTGGTGATCGTTTACAAGAGGACCACCTAAATATGAAAGCTTCATTACGCCAATGGGTCTGCACTTCAAAAACGACTGTGTCATACACCCTGAGCTAAAAGCTGTCATCTCTTGCCTGACAATATTTGGTGTGAAAAAACTCCATTATCCCCACTATATACAACTCTGGATGTGATCACCAAAGGTAGAGTCATTGAAGTGGATGTGAGTGGGTTGGGCCTTGTGACATAAGGATCAAGGTTATTTGGGGAGTGTGTGCCCACATTACCAACAATTCTGAATGGGTACATAAAATGTGGTCTTGCTGGTTTACAGTGACTTCATACAAGTCACTCCAGTCACTACTGAAGACTATACACTATCGCTGTGACCTTTCTGAACCACCAAGCAGCCTTATCCCATTTGCAGTCAACAAGACATATTTATTAAATTGTAAAGAAAAATAAAAACTGCCCAGTTGGTTTTTTAGAAAATCTTAACACCCGTCATAATGGCTAAGAGCAATACAACAAGTGAGAGCTCATGCTAGTGAGGATATGCAGTAAGGGAACACGCTGGCCCTGCTAATGAGACTGCAGACTTGCATGGCCATTATGGCAATTAGTGTGGCAAGGTTCCTCAGAGATATGGGACTCAATCAACTCAAGACCCATCTATACCACTCATGGCAAATACCCAAAGTACAGAGACATTTTTCCATACACATACTTACT